ATTTTGTCAATATACGATGTGGTTGATTATTACGGCCCATCACCGAAACCTCCCTCCCTCCCCCCTCTCCCCCCTCCCACCCAACAATGTCCTTTCCCATGGGGATTTTTGAAAGCACCCCACCATCTCCCACCTGGCACCCTGAGTGTGACGCTGGCCCTTTAAAGCAGATCAGGAGCTGGCATTGAGGGGGGAACATCCCAGATTTCTGCCATCTGCTTACAAGGCTGAGCCAGGGAGGGGGGCCACCCCAGCCCCTGACAGGGGCATTGGAAGGGCAGGTGGAGCCGGTGGCATTGATTGCAGTAACCTGATCCCGCGGGGGAGGTGGCGACGACAGCGCAAAGGGCTGGGCCAGAGGAGGAAGCTGCCTACAGCTGAGGGCTGGGCCTGGAAGAGCTGGGGCTGGGGCCCGGGTCGGCAGCTGCTGCCTCCTCTCCCGGCCCATCTATTTTTAATGAGCTCCCCAGGCTTCTGCAGCGGGCAGGACACAAAAAGGCAGGCCCACACGGTGGAGGCTGGAGGCCTCAGCTGTGCCTTGAGCCCTGGCCCCCCCACCCTTCTGGGAATGAGAGGGCAGCCTTGGGGCCCTGCAGCCCCCCAGCCGGGCAGGGCTCTCCATGCAGCTGGTGCTGAAGATGGATCCGAGCCCAGACAATAACAGCTGGTTGGAGGATCAGTGGGAGCGCTGGTAGGGGGTATAGGGGCTGTTGGGGGGGGAGTTGGGGGAGCTCTGTTGAGCTCAGGGTCTCTGTTTGGTCTGATTGAGATGAGAGGCAGGGGATGTGGGTTACCTAGATTCCCCTGGAGGCTGAGCCATCACCTCTCCTGGGTGACCTTGGACTAGTGGGTTTCCCTTAGTCTATGCTTCAGTCTCCTGGTCTTATTTGGGAAAAGGCTCAGACATTCTCCCCAACTTCCCAAATGTCCCACCCACACAAACCAGGTGGAGTGCCCAGGGCTGGGGTGAGCAGTTCAGGGGGCGGGCAGGCAGGCACAACAGTGGCTGGTCCAGCCCCACATTCTAGGTGGGGCACAGGGCTGGCCTGGGGGCAGGGTGTTCAAGTGGAGCCAGTTAGTGGTCTAGTGTCCAATTTCTCTGGTCTGTCTCCTGAGCTTACAACACTTCCAGCTCCAACCTGGGGCCTTTCCTGACCCTATCTGTGCATCTTCCTAAATGGGTCCTTATGCTGGGCAAGATGATTTTGTGGTTGAAGAGATGAGACCAAGATCACAGCATGAGGACATAGTCCTGGAATGGGCTGAAATTTACCCACATTGATACCAGATTTCCCTTCACTTGTTCCCAGGGGTCAAGAGGCATGGGTCTTTCTAAAAGGGGAAAGGGGGGTTACAGAGCACTCCTCTGAGGCTGGGGGGCTTGGCCCACTCCACTCCTCTGCTAGCACCTTGTGTCTTGTTACTGTAGGGGTTGCACAGAGAGACCCCCTACTCCAGGCATCCCTTGGAGTCTTCACAACTCTGCACTTTCCATGGGTAAACTGGCCTTGGCACCTGCCTTGACCCTGGGGGGCATTTCTCTGGCAGAGCTGAGGCTTTGACCAGTTAGACCTTCTAGGCAGTGCCTCCTGGTTGGCAATAGGATGGAGAACTCCCAGCTGGGAGAACAGGAGCAACCTGGAGCCTCCTCTCCACTGCCACCGTAGTAGGACTGGCTTTCAGCATGAGCCCCTAACTCATTCCCTGCATGTTGGCTACCCCCTGCATTGGTGCACATAGACCAAGTCCTATCCTCTGGGGGTCGTGATCTGCCTTCGAGAGGCTTCCCCTTGGAAAAGACAGTAGGGAGACGTTGGTGGGCTTAGCAATCCCCCTGGGTTGTAACTTTGGTTTCCTGTCCCCACCAGGCTCACCCATGACATCAGCCTGGAGGAGTTTGAGGATGAAGACCTCTCGGAGATCACTGATGAGTGTGGCATCAGCCTGCAGTGCAAAGACACCCTGTCCTTACGGGTAAGGGGAGGCTCCCAGGAGCCCCTGAGTGGGGTGGCAGGATGGGTAGGGACAGGAGTGAGGGCATCCCTGTATCTCCAAAAGGGGTTTTCAGGTCTGTACAGCACCCTCAGGAAATGAAATAATGTGCAGGAAACATCCAGTACAATGCTTGGCATGTCTTGGGTCAATCAGAATTTTTTTTTTCACCAGGGGCTAAGGCTGGAAGCAGCTCCTTCAGCTGTTCTTAAGAGAGGGCAGGAGGTCTTGAGATCTAGGACAGTAGCAGTTAGGACCAGAGTTAAGGGAAGCACAGGACTACCCTAAATCCTTTTGGAGCAGCCCTGGCACAGGTCCTGAGACAGAGCAGGGTGGAGTCTGGTGGAATCTGCAGTGCTTTGGGGCAGGAAAAAAGAGCCAAGGCACTCCTGGAATAGCTCCTGTGACTGCCGGCTGCCATTGCACCAGACCAGACCAGACCACATGGCCTGCCAGACCTTGTCTGGCCCCAGTCCTAAAGGCCGCCACTGAGGGGTTAACCCAGCATTGCTGCTTTGAGCCCCTTGGCTTTGTCATAGGAAAGATGACTCTCCTGTCCCTAAAGATCTGGATGCTGCCAGGAGATTTTCAGCAGCTGGGGAACCTGGGTCAGTTGGGCATCCCTGCCATGTCTTTTTAAAACAGGAAGAAGGAAGGGCCGGCTAGCCAGGAAGTGGAAGCAAAGCACAGAGCTAGGCTTTAGAGCCCAGAGCTTCTCTCAGGCCCCAGGAGGGTGGGTAGATAGATATGGTGTTAGGAGAGTGGCTAACAAAGGAGCTGCGATGTGAGTTGGGAGGAGGTGCCTGTCTCTGTGCTGACCTCCTGCTTCCCCCCAAGGTTCTGTAAGCTCTGCTAGGTAAGAGGAAACCAAGGGGTGAGGGTAACCCTCCAGTTCCTTATACCCCAACCTTCTACCCTCCAGCCAGGCCAGGAAGGGATAGAGGCAGAGGCTACTTCTTCTGGACTTGGGGAATGGTCCCAAGAGCCTTGACTTAGCTTCTCTAAGGCCATGCACTTTCTAATCTCTCAGGCCGCCTGCTCCCGCATCGTGCACAAGCAGAGCCGTGGAGAGGGTGGCCCCTGCCACTAGCCAGGGCCCTAAGGCCATAGCTAGGGGTGTACCCATGCGGGCCCTTAGACAAGCTCCAGGGAGCTTCACACACACTTTCCAGTGAGTCCTCACCTCTCTGGGAATCAGGGAGGCGGTAGGTTTGTCCCCAGTCAACTGGTGGGGAATTGAAGGGCCAGGGGATCTGTCCAAGGTGCCAGGGAGTTAGCGGCAGAGCTGGAACTAGGACGGGGCTCTGAACTATCAAGGCAGGGTTAGCCGAGGGAAAATTTCAGGTTGGAGGGGCTGGGCCAGTGGGCTGAGGAGATGAGACGGGAGGGCGGGGGATGCCACCGCTTTGGTTCCAGGTGTCCCTCGCTTGCTCCTCCCCTTTAGCGTCCCTCTCCCAGCTGCTCTCAGGGCTTCCTGTCCACAGTGCGGCCCTCCCGCAGACCCTCCCTGGCTGAGACTCAGTTTTCACAGTTTTCCTCACAGCCCCCTTCAAACACTAATCCGCCATCCCCATCCCTGGGGCGGGGGGGCCCGAGCTCCTTGGCGACCCCTGCGTCCCCATAGCAACAGCGGTGACTTCATTTTGGGCTCGGCTTACAACCCGGGTGAGGTGACCGGCCGTTGCCAAGGGAACGGGAGGGTGCAAGGAGTCAGGAAGGAGGGACCGTGGGGAGGGGAGGTGTGGGCCGTCAAAGGCGCTGACTGCAGTGGGGAGGAGGCGGCCTCGCACCTCCCCGCAGGGGCCGGCCTCCGCCCCGCTTCTCGTCACCCCCCTTTGAGACGGCGAGATGGACTCGCCCGGGCGGGGGGCGGAGGGCGGCGGCCTCGGCCCCGCCCCCGGGCCGGCGCGGCC